TATTTGTGATATAGGAATATGAAAGAATGCTACCTATTAAAAGGAAGGCGGGGAAATGACATTCCAGTTTACTATTTAAGACATGTAAAACCTGCCATGTCTTTTATTAAACATCAAATACGGGCAGGTCCTGCAGTGCTCTCGGAGTTCAATTCTTTCCTAAGGAGGGGTAAGAGTGTGGTCAGGAGCCCACTCATCGGCTCTGTCCTCCTCCTCTACATCCGATGTTCCTTTCTGAACAATGAAGACAAAGAGGCTTGTCACTGTTCCAACGAGAGGCCTCTAATGAAGGTTTCATGAGTCATGTGTTTCACCCACATGACATGCCCGACGCCAGCTGATAGAAACATCTAGAGAGCTGGAGGTACAGATACAACCACTCCAAAGCTCCAACTCACTACTCTCATTGGCCTACATCTACCTCTAGTGCATTAAAATATTTTGATATTATTAGTAATTTAATCTAATTAATAGTACATAAAAGTATTTTAACTAGGAAACTTTTTCTTCCTTACAATACTTCTGTGGAACAGAAGAACTTCCTTTGCTTGGTAGAAGCAAGGTCGTGATGTCATGGCAAATACATTAAGAGACTGCCCACTGGGTCTGCAGAGCTCTCAGTTTAATGCATTAAGGTGATCACCCAGGCCTAATTACAGGAACAACACTAGATGACCCGGAACACCGGCGGATTCCTCTATCCTATCACACAGTATCCCCAGGGATCTTTTTTCTTTAAAGATTATACTTATTTATTTTTAGAGAGAGGGGAAGGGAAGGAGAAAAAGAGGGAGAAAAACATCAATGTGTGGTTGCCTCTCATGCACCCCCTACAGGGAACCTGGCCTGCAAACCAGGCACATGCCCTGACTGGGAATCAAACCAGCTACCCTTGGTTCACAGGATCGTGCTCAATCCACTGACCTACACCAGCCAGGACCCCAGGGATCTTTTAAAAATGTAAATCAGAACCTACACCTCTCTCAATAAAACTCATAGAACAGGGTCTTGCACTACTCAGAATAAAATGAAAATTTCCCCTGCGGACTTCCCTGGCCTCACCTACCTCTGCACACCTGCTGCCTTTCTCCAGCCACTCTGGATATTTTCTTCTTCTCTATTTTCTTGAATAGCACACACTCATTCCTGCCTCAGGTCTTCACTCTTGCTTTTTGCCTCAGCCTAGAAACCTCATGCCCCAGATCTCTTCCTCCCTGACCAGCCCTCCTACCTGGAACAGCTTTCCTGCCCCTCTCCACATTATCCTGCTGAGTTTTCAGGAGAGCACTTATTATTGTACGAAATTATTCTTTTTGCTTACCTGTTTTTGATGCTCATTGTCTATCTGTCCCCAAAAGCATGAAAGCCCCATGAGCCAAAGGACTTATCTGCCTCATGCACCTCTGGAATCCTACCACCAGGAACACATTCCAGCATAGGATGTGTTTTTTGAAAGAATGAACAAGTTTAAATCAAAGTAGCACACAGTTACGGGGTGATCTAGAAGCTCAAATTTATTGCAACATCACAGTTACTTAAAAACCATAGTTCTACATTGTACAGAAGACTCCTCCTTTTCTTATTAAAAATGCAAGATAGAACTTAGTTAACATCATACAGGTCTATCTGCTTCATTTTCACACTGATACAGAATCTGTTTTTCAATGATCTGGATAATTGGCTTTAATGGAAGAAGAGCATTATGAAAATGAGAAAATTCAACTGTCCCAATTTTAATTGGAACATAGGTTCAAGAACGTGGGTTCTTGAAATCAGTATGAATATTGGTGCTTCTCAAACACTATTGATAACTACTGATTGTTCATTCTTTAAGAATATGGTAAGAGCATCAGCTGGGAGAAGAAAGCTATACAAAGTCAAATTTCTTTTTTTATGTTTTATTGTTTATGCTGTTATAGTTATTCACATTATTTACTTCTTTGCCCCCCTCTCTTCCCTGCTTGCCCCCCATTTTTATAGTCAATTTCTTATAGAAAGGCAAAAGATGATGACAAGCATCAGTTTTGTTAGTTATCTAAGTGGCAAGCTAACCCCCTTGGAAAGGGACACCAACAATAATCATTGAAATGACCACACCAGCTCCCCTCAAAGACACCTGGCGAAGGGAAGCTGTCGCCACTGACCCACAAGGACAAGGAAGCACACTGCAGTGATCGAAACGACAGGAGTTTAGGATTTCTAATGACTATAACCACCTCCTCACAACACACCGTTGTGCTCAGATTTTCCCAGATTTGGTTGCATCTGGAGCTCTTCTGACACAGCGATGTTTCACTGGTCCCCGAAAACATGCTAAAGATGGGTATTACAACCTCGGGAAACACAAGCCTTTCTCAGCCCCTGCACCTTCTCTGAGGAGTAGAGCGAGACTGCCAGCGCTCAGGGTAAGTTAGAATGTTTTTCGGCTGAGCCATGGAAAAAAAAGGAGGTCCTATTGTATTCTTTTTAATATTTTATTTATTTATTTTCAGAGAGAGGGGAAGGAAAGGAGAAAGAGAGAGAGAGAAACAGTGTGTGGTTGCCTCTCATGTGTCCCCCACTGGGAACTGGCCTGCAACCCAGGCATGTGCCCTGACTGGGAATCGAACCGCGATCGCATGGTTCGCAGGCCCGCGCTCAATCTGCTGAGCTACACCAGCCAGGGCCCTATTGTATTTTTCTATCACTGTGAATATGAAATAGCTACTAAGGCTAACGGAAGCTTTATGTGAATCTCAGGATGGAAATCTTCAAAACAATGAAAAGTCATCTTAGCTGCATGTAGCTGACTCGCTCCTATATTACATGTGTCAGGAAAGGATTATGAGCGGTTTGATCACAAAATTTTTTCTTGATCTCATTTTAAGGCAGTCATGGCTTAGCAGTTTGCCATTTTATACATGGCTTAGCGGTTTCATCCCTTTATTATCTGACAAATTATTTAAATTGATGTCTAGTTCTACAAAAGACCAAGATTTCAAAAATAGAAAGACAACCAAGTATTTAAAGATAGTAGGCAATAGATAGTGTTAAAAATGATTACAGATAAATAAATCTTAGGCCACATCCCACCAGTAGACAGGTTCTCAGAAAAGGAAGCTGAACAATGAGTGACAACCAGAGAAGAAGTTACAAGGTCACGGGAGCCCTGAGTGTCTCCCGGAGGATCTGTAAGGTATCTCTGCAGCCACGCCGTCTGCTGCGGTGTACGGACTGCAGGTTCACCTGAGGCGGGTCACAGAATCCTGAGGGGTTAGTGTGTTATTGGTAAACCTGGAAGAACAATGCCGAGCCCTTTTAAAGTCGCCGTGCCACAGGGGCACAACACTTCCACGTGAGAGTCAGAACTAAGAGGCGACGTGGTGAGAAGGATTTTCTTGTCCTTCCAGCTGCTTCAATACCTACAGGAGAAGGAGAACTAAACCCATTATATTTGGTGAGCATTCACTAAACTTGCACATTTTTTTAAAAGAACATAAAAGGAATGAGGAGAAAACTGATCAATCTAAGGTAATTGGGGAAGATAACCAGATAATGAAGGGATAAAAATCTTCCATTGCAACAAACTAGAAGAGATTATTTATGTACATTCACAAGTAGATGAGCTCCAGATGTATTTTTTTTTAATCTACTTTTCCCCAGGTGTTTTTCTGCTTAATAAACATAACATCCAAGTTGGAATATTGTTGAAGCATTGAATCACCTAAATTTTGGCGATGCTCTTCTTCTGCTGTTAACTGTTTGAAGCTGTTTCTCAATAAGGCAGCCACTACTGGAATCATCAGCACACAGGCTTGGCAGAGCCAGAAAGAAAAAGTACAGTCCACAGATTTGTTTCTTTTGTTTTCCCAAAACAGAATCTCATAAAAAAATATGCCCTCCAATCCTGTCACTATGTAGCTGACAGAAAGAGAAATTCTGCTCCTGTTCAAAACTCGGAGCATTAAACCCATTTCTTAACGCCACTGAGAAGCTGTGTAGCTCCAGGAAGTTGTGAGGTGCCATTGCAAGTGTCCAGGCTGTATCCAGGCAGAATAATCAGTCAATCAAACCTCCAGTTTTGGGGGCCAACTTGGAAAAGCACACAGAACAAGTTCGACTTCACTGCCAAGATCATTTCCAGGACATTGGCTAATTAATTATAAAAGCTTTTTCAAAACAAATCTGAGCCTGGCAACCTTTTTTTCCTACCTAAACAGAGAAAAAGCAAGTTAAAAATTTAAAGGCCTAAATTTATTGTGGGTTTTTCTGACATAGCTTTATCTTCTATGAATGTCCATCTTCTCCTCACTCTTTATATATGAAGTTAATAAAATAGTGGATGGAGGAACTAGAACTATTAGTTTGAAAACTCTACTGTGGGTTGTAGAAGAAATCATGGGTCAATTACAATGAAAACTCTACTGTGGGTTGTAGAAGAAATCATGGGTCAGTTACAAAGCTTCTCTTCAAACTCTTTTGTGAGAAACAAAGAACAGAGCATCTTCCTTCTTGGTAGGTACGAACAGTTCATTGCACTAACTATGTCTATAATATTAGATGGATATTTACTACTTACTCTACGTTTTAATAGACGAATATCCAACTAACAAAACTGCATTACCTTTGCCCAAAGCACACCCAAGAGTTAACAATTACCAGAATGTCTTAGCCTTTTTAATCACTGTACTTTTCACAAAGTATCTCATTTAATCCTCATGCTAACCTGAGGTAGGGATTATTATTACTATTTTAAAGCCAATACAACTATCGTTACTAGATTAAATTACCCCAAAGAATACACCTGTAGAGGCTGGGGTCAATATTCTTAACTCCAGTGTTCTGAACTTCAAATCCCTTCACAAACTGCCTCATCGTTCCCAGACAAAAAAGTGCACAAAAACCATCTGCACATATTGGTTCATTCTCAGTTTGGGAATTATCATTTCTAATCTTTTCCCAGCATCTTCTAGATATACATATAGTCTTACGCTTCAAACAAGCAAGAATTCTTGGCTTACCTGGTCCTTCTCCGGCTTGTCGGAAATGTCGTTCAGACTGGAGGAAGTCAGATCCCTATGGGTCATGCCTGGGCTACCTGAGAAAACAGAAGAAAATCCTAATTAAAGACTTCTTTGCAAAAACACAGAGACTTCGGCTGCATATTTTGTCAGTGCTAGTAGATGACAATGGGCATGGTGATGATGCTTTACCTATGTCCAGGTTAAATGAAAAGTATGAAAAATCCCAAATAACCTATGGAAGTTTTCTGCCAGTCTCTAATTTAAGATTTTAAACTTTGAAAGAAGCATCAAAAACAATGAACATAAAAATAAACTTATTCCTGGTCTGGTTTGGTTTTTGTCACAGCCTTTCACACACACATCCGAATCCGCTCAGAGCCCTTCCTTTTCCCACCCCCTGCAGAGACGGGCTTCTTCCCTCACACGGGCACAGGCCGTCCTCTCCCCCAGGCCCCTGCAGTCCTTCCTAGGACACTCCTCATTAAAATCAACCCAAAAAGCCATTAGGGTCCCCTTCTCTAGCTAACATTTTGATCAAGAATATTTCTCCTTAGTAGAAAAATATGCAGCTAACAAAATGTCCATTGATCCAGAATCCCTGTTCTTTGCCCAAAAATGGTGTTATCACAGGCTCCCCTTACTTTTTCCATTCCCATTTGCCAGACAACAGTAAGTGTACCCTTTCTTCCCCCTTAACATGCCAAATTTCTTATTCAAGTGAAGGGGTGGTTTCCTCAGGGATGCTTTGGAAACCAAGCTCTCTGACAACACAGCTGCTGAGCAGAAAATCCACCGGCAATACAGTCAGTGCCTTTAGACACTGTCAGACAAGAACGGGAGGAAGGACATCTCAGTGAATGAGAGACCAGTTTCAAATAACTGTGTTAACCAACAGACAACTGAACTTCCCTTCTACAGCTGGACCTGAAATTTTTAGGCTTACTAAGCAAAAGAGTCACTTTTCAAAGCCAGGATGCTTGCCCCAGCCCATGCAGGATGCTGAGTAATGCATTCATCCTTAATCCTCAATGCATCTGAGTCGGCTGGTCTTCACACCAAGAGGACAAAGGTTGGCTTAAAAAAATAGCACAGAAGTTCAAGCACAGCTTCATATTTGCTTCCAAATAATTCTTTAGATTACAGACTAATTCCTTCAGATCAAAACTTCAACACATAATTTTACAAGAGGCTATAATCTACTTCTAATAATTTAATGTCTATGTAACAGCAGCTCTTTAAATAATATAATTGACTTTAACTACTAGATCAGAAAAACCATAATTTTCTTGAACTGGCAAGACAGGATGTTTTCCGCTCCGTCGCGTTTCAGTGAGTAAGCATGTTCTAGATCACTTAAACCCTTTACCTGGTGGGATATTTTACTTTAGGAAAGTTTGAGCACAGGGCATTTTTTGAGGGAGGAAAACATCTGAAAAAATGCTTTACAAGCAAAATTGAAAGAACTTTGAAGGCCACATTTTCTACTTTGAAATGCACACAGGTTACTAATGTCCCCGAGTACAAACGATGCCAGGTACAAACATAAATGCCCCAAAATAATGCTGGATTTAACACTAAGAGGAAATGAGGAGTATATATAGTTTTATACTTTACAAGAAAAACAGAACCAGTTGCCCTGGCCAGGCGGCTCAGTTGGCTGGTTGGAGCATCATCCTGTCCACCAAAAATGTTGCGGGTCTGAGCCCCAGTCAGAGCACATACCTATGTTGCAGGTTTGATCCCTGGTCAGAAAGTGTACAGGAAGCAACCAATCAATATTTCTCACATCGGTGTTTCTCTCTTTCTCTCTCATCAACAAACAAAACCAGTTATTTGATCTATAATGGGTGAAAATTCTACCTGAGTAAGTAAATGGATCTAAACTATATATCCCTGAGGCAGAGAAGGCTTAGCAATCCTAAATTAGAAGTGGCTTAGGTAAATGCTTAGATAAGACTAATTTCTAATTATAAAGCAATCATATTAAGTGGAAGTACAGAAATAAATTGAAAGCAACCTTTTATTAAGTAATTTAAATTTCCTGGGCAATATCCTAAAGTCACTGATTTGCTTTGGAAGCTCTTCATAAATACTGCAAGGGTACATTTCAACCCAAGCACTGTTCTGACTGCTGCAAGATCTGAAGAGGTAGAAGTCAAATGAATACAGTTTTCACTGTAATGGTGATCCTGACTGATGTCACAACTTTTCCAGGAAACCTCATATACCGTCTCATCCTTTCTGTCATTTCTGAAAGACAGTTACAGTGTGGCTATCTATACTTGCACTGCGTGTGGGGAAGAAAGGGGCACAAGTCCAAGGAAAAGGTAGGAATCAGATGGAGAAGAGGCCAGTGTTAAGAAATAATCAAATCTAATGTTCCTCCTAACCTTATCTTATTCTCATGAATAAAGGTAGTATTGATAAAACTTGTGTGTAAAAGTAAAATTAGTAATAGCCCCTAATATGTAACTTTGTAATACACTGGAAGAATTCTGAAGTCAACACTTCTAGGTAAGCCACGAGCAAGATGATCAGCATTCTTCAATCTTACCTATTTCCCTCCCTAGCATCTCCTCTCTCCTACACCCTAACCCCTTGAACAAAGACAAATGCTTCCCAATGCAATGCTTCCTAAAAGGTGGTCCCCAGACCAATAGCATCAGCATCCCATGAGCACTTGTTAGAAATGCCAATTCCTGGGACTCAACCCAGACCAACTACATGAAAACTGGGAGTATGAGGCTTAGCAATGTGGGTATTAACAAGCCTTGTAAGTGATTCTGAAACATGCTTAAAGTTTGAGACCTACTGCTCAAAATAAATCTGTTACCTTAACCATAGGATATCCCAGTCAGAATCTCAGTTGAAAGGTGCTTATGTAAGTGGAAGTAGCCAGGGTGGCAGCTAAGATAACCTTACTCTCCTCCACACTACTGCTCCAAACTCTTGCATCTCCAGCAAATCATTAAATTAGCATGCTTGCCACATAAGCACACAAAAATGATCAGACTTGGCTTTTCCTCTAAATCCTCACCTACACTATCAAATAAATAAATTACTTTATTTTGGAAGATCACTATTTAATCAGCCTTTTCCAGAAACATCTATCCAATTCAAAAAGATAAGACAAGAGCCAAAATAGATTACAGACCAGATTATATCTGGGAATCAGAAATGTGTGCACAGCATTTCAGCAAACCCAGAAGCCATTACACAACAGATCCCTAACAACTCCATTCTGTTGTGGAGACTTCGTGCCTGACATTCAATAAGACACAGTGTCAGAATAAACCAGTGCTTTCTATTTAGAGTTTTGTGCTATAAAGTAAACTCATTATACTGCAATTGTAAGTGAGTAGGGTAGTAGAGAAAAACACCACCTTGTCTCAAAAAGCTATGTTACGAGGATAGCCTGTAGCATGCTGATTGTTGAGGCGGCAGTGGTGATGATTTCCTTACTCAAAGCTACCACCAGTTAGACCCTTTCCATCTAAAATCCAGGGCATACAGATGTCTGAAAACTGCTCTTGGTCCAAAGAAACTTTGCTTTTATAAGCTTCAGCTTTTGAAAAAGAGGGAAGGACCAGCCTCCTGTGCATAATTATAATGAATTCCCATATCACTGTTTTCTTGCCATGAGAAAAAGCTTTGGAGAATCACATTCTCAAGCAGTTTCACACAACCAAAACCAATTTCATTTTCAAAGTACCCACTTGGCAGGGACATACTGTTTTCTATAAAAATTAATTGCATTCTGTATTAGGTCTGATAATCATTGCTATTCTTTAGCACACATGGAGCAACTCATAAAGTCCTCTGCAATTATATCTATTAAATACAATAAAAAGGGGTGAGGAGAATGTACAGCATAGCAAGAGGATGACATTTAAATGTGTACATAGTAGATAAAAATGTAAATATGTATGTAATGTAATGACATGCGCACACCTCATGCCTTTTTAACGAGCCAAGAGAGAACCTAGGGACAAATTAAAAGAAAGATCAAATGCGCTATGAAATAAACTAATTTTTTACTCTTACCAATAATTAAATATTTTAGCATAAAATTAAGTAAGGTCACTTACATATAATGGACATTTAAGCAAATGTGGACATAAATGTCAGAAAGTTCAGAGCCATAAGTATGATTTGAACTACTTGGGACCACAAAATGAATAATAACTGTGGTTCCAGAATAATGCAGGCTAACGTGTTGTCCCCCAGCAACTCACTGGTACTCTCCCCCCGCCGCTTGTTGGGACAATGGGTAGCAATCTACCAGAGAATGTCTATATCTAAGATTAAGGGTCAACTGATCTTGATTACTAGGCACTTTAACTTACATTATCTTAATCCTCATATAAACACTTTGAGTTAGTGTTATTATTTCCACTTTAACATAAACAAAATGAACTGCAAGGAGGTTAAATGTATGGTCACAAAGCAAATGATAAAAACATAATTTAAATCTGGATCTCTTAATACCAATCCCCCTGCCTCTGAGTGGAAAAAAATGGCCTATGTTACTTATACAAATAAACACACAAACATCATCACTCCTAATGAAAAGTTAAGGTATAACTACAAAGAATATATTCTATTTCCATGCTAATTGTATGTATTACAATATCACTAATAATGCTTAAGGTAGATATGTCCATGGTTTCCAATTCTAGTTGTTCCCCAAAACGAAATTTCCAATTCTTTGTTGTTTTGATTTCCATAAAAAAAAGTGGGGGGAGGATATTCAATTTAGCTACTCTGCCACAGAGATTAAATAGTAACCCCAAACCACAGCTCTATAACAAAGAAGAAATCATGCTAAAAACAATAGCAATGTAATATGAAAACAATAATGCCACGTGCTTCTGACTGCGCTAATTCATAATCATAGCCAAGTGTTCGTAATATTCCACAGTGATCGTACAGCCAGTTCTGCACTGTTTCCATACCGGTTTTCCACATTTTGGGTTACTGCAACTGCAGTTTCTCCCCACTTCAACCACTAAATCAGGATACAAGACGGGAGAATAAATCGCGATAAGAGTGACTGAAAAAGTCTAGAAGGAAT